TAAAATTTATCTAATTAGCTATTTAATAGACTTAATAGGGTAATCTTTATTTTAAAATTCCTTTTATTTATTTATTACTAAAGCTACTTATTAAGGATTATAACTACTAGATATAAAATCGACCTTAAATTCTCTCTTTAATTAAGAGTAGACTATAGTATATTAGATTTAAATTCTTATATATAGCTTAATCGAATTAAATATACTTATTACTATTAATTAGTATATTTTTTATCCTATATATTAGTATAGTTAATTTATTACGAAATTTTATCCTACTATTTAGCCGATATTTAGATTTAATTAAGACTCGACTAACGCCGCCTTAACCCGCACCCTCTACCTATTACTGATATATTATTAAACCTTTTTCTAAGGTTAATACCTTTATTATTTTAGGCTATCTTTATAATTAAGGTAATAATAATTATAATAATAGGTATTTAATTAATTAATTCTTAATAAGGCTAATTTCTTACTATAGGGTCTTTGATTATAATAATATAAAATAGGCTTATAATAAAGGTTTTCTTAAATATTATAAAAATAAAAATAAAAGTAATAAAGACCTTATTCTTAGTAATTATTTAAATAAGAATTCTAATAATTAAGACCTTTTATTATTACTTAATTAAGAGTTCCTTAGGTATTTTAAATAAGGCTAAATTATTAATCTTATTAAGAAATATTATCTCTTATATTAGCTATAAGCTATTATTATTATTTCTTTCTTTATTTATAATAAGTAAATACTTTTATTTCCTTATATTTACTTTTCATAAGGTATTTTAAGGGTTTATCTTAGCTTTAATTCTTTAAGGGAATTTAATTAAATAATATCTTAAAATCTAAGGTTAAGGGAAAATAAAATATATTTATAATTAATCTCTCTTTTTAATTAAATAATTTCTTAAAGTCTCTTTAATTCTTACTTTTTTCTTATTTATAATAATTCTTAATATTTTTCTCTTTTTTAGCCTAATAATAATAATTATATTTATAGTTTATTAATTAGTAATATAGAAATATATTTTCTTATTTAATTAATTAAATTACCTTTAAGTAATATATCTTAATAATTATAAAAATAAGAGTATTAAAAGATCTTATATAGGGATATTAGATTTATTATAGGAATAAAATATATTAATTATAGCTAAAACTTTTAATATAACTTTCTTTTAAATACTTTTAAAAAGAAGCTTTTATATACTTTCTTATAAACTAGGTATTATATAAAATAATAAAAGTAAATAATTAATTAATAATAATAAAGATCTTTTTAAGAAAAAAAGCCTTAAAGCTTTTTATTCTTAATCTAATCCCTAAAGAAAATAATGATAATAATAATTAAGGCTATTACCTTAGCCTTTTTCTATATATAAGAAATTACCTAATAGCCTAAAATAGCCTAATATGCCTTTCCCCTAACTTAATATACCGCCTTTACTTATTTAGGTCGCAGCCTAAATCCTATTATACTTTTAATTCTTAATATTAATTATATCTTATTTATAGATAAGGTAGTAATTTAACCTAGACGCGACCTAGCTAGATAGAATTATTAGTTAGAGCTTATTAAAGAGTTAAAATATGCCTAGGGAATTATATATATAATTATAAGTCGCTATTTATAGAAGTAACTATACTTTATTATTAACTACTAGGAGCAAAGTTATATAGCACGCCTAGTATTAACTATAATATCTTAATAATAAAGTATTATATTTAAATAAGACTTAATTTAATTAGTAGCTAAGACTTTATTAATTATCTATATATAATTATTTTAATATTTTATATTATATTAAAGGTAATATAAGGTATTATAATTCTCTTATTAAAATTAGTCTAACGTACTTGATAAGCAAGTGTCTCATGCAAGCAAGTGTCTCAAAAATCCCTCAACTTTCATTATTACCATTTGATCAATTGATTCCTAACCACCCAGCATATCACAGTCTAATTATGAAGCTAGAATGCTTCTTACTCTTCATGCCCTTCAAAACAACCCGAGTTTAAGTCTTCGGCGCGCCGCAAGCATATACACAGTCTCCTAGAAGACCCTTAGCCGCCGGCAGAAGGGCATCCAATCTCGACGCGATACCATCCAGAAATCACATCGGCTATCTAATCTAGAGGAGCAGATCCTTATTCACTTTATTCTTAACCTAGATTCGCGAGGATTTCCCCCACGGCTACGTGGTATGAAAGAAATAGCTAATTAATTGCTTACTGACCGCGACGCGCCACTAGTTAGCACGCGTTGGGCTCATAACTTCGTTAAGCGGCACCCAGACCTTAAGATACGTTTCTTTCGTAAATATAACTACTAGAGAGCTAAGTGCGAAGATCTAACCATTATCCGCGATTAGTTTCGGCTTATGGCAAATATAATCGCGAAGTATAGCATCCGATTAGATAATATCTATAACTTTGATGAGACTAGCTTTCTTATGGGCATAATTGCAAGCGGAATAGTTATCATAGGTGCAGAAAGGCGTTCAAAGCCGAAATCAGTATAGCCTAGAAACCGGGAATGGATTACGGTCATTCAGGCGATCAATGCGGAAGGCTAGGCGATCCAGCCATTTATCATCAGTGCGGGCCAATACCACCTCGCCAACTGGTACCGGGATAGTAACCTCCCGGGCGATTGGGCTATTATAACGACCTAAAATAGCTAGACCGATAACGAGACCGGTCTCGAGTGGCTAAAGCACTTTGACCGGTGTATAGCCAAGCGATCAAATAATCGCTATCGTCTTCTAATCCTTAATAGCCACGAAAGCCACCACTCTATCGAATTCGAGAGATATTACGAGGAGAAGAAGATCATCCGGCTTTATATGCCACCTCATTCATCTTATCTACTCTAGCCCCTTGACGTTAGGTGCTTTAGTATACTAAAGAAGGCTTATAGTCGAGAAATAGAGCGTTTAATTAGATACTCTATTACCCACGTTTCAAAGACTAAGTTCTTTCTAGCCTTCCACGCCGCACACGAGGCTACTATAACGGAAAGAAATATCAGGGGTGCATTCAAAGGAGCCGGGCTTATTCCTCTGGACCCGGAAAATGTGATCTCGAAGCTTGATATGCAGCTACGGACGCCAACGCCGGTTAAGGAGGCAGCTGAACCGTCGACCCCTTGGGCTTTAAAGACCCCAAAGACCGTACTTAAGGCTAGATCTCAGTCTAAATACCTCGAAAGACGAATCAGAAGGCACCAGAGTAGCTCCCCAGAGTCAATTTTAGAGGCTCTTCAGAGTCTTACAAAGGGGACAAAGGCTGTTATGCATCGGGTTACCTTATTAACCGCTGAGAACAAAGACCTTCGAGAGGCGAATAAGATATTAAGCCGGCGCCGGAGGGCAAAAAGGACTAGACTATAGAAAAGAGGAGTAATAACGGTAGAGGAAGGAAGGCAAGCAATTAATCAAATGGATATAGATGCGCAGGTAGTGGCCGAATCGTCGAGGAGTGGTAGTCGAGCGAGGTCGGTCGGACCGGGTATTCGGCGCTGTGGTGTTTGCGGCAAGCCCGGGCATAATGCAAGGACCTATTAGGTAGTAATTAAGACGTCTAGGGAAGAGTATAGTGAGTAGCTTTAATTGATCAAATAGTTTGTGGTGTTTTTATTGCGATTTCTATTTTAAGGGTTAGGATTTTTGAGATACTTGCTTGTATAAGACACTTGCTTATCAAGTACGTTAGTATAATAAATAGGGATATATAATTTATAACTAAGGATATATATAAAATATATATATCCTAAGGGATAAGCTACTAAATTATGCTAAAAATCTCTTAGGCCTATATATAGAATCACGTGCGCTTAGCGCTTGCGTCTATTCGGCTAGTATGTGGGTCTGAGTGCCTGAGGTAAACGTGGCCGCCTGCCGGGTAGTCACATGACTTCCCTCCCCCAGCACTCAGCCCAATTAGGAAAGCGCGAATCCTGCGCCTCCCCTTTTCCGGGAGCTCGCCGAGATCGCACAGAGAAGAACAACAATACAGATGACACCACAACTCGATAGTATATGCCTCTACCCAGATTGTCACAAGAGTGCACCACAAGAGTCAGAGTGGTGTTGCAGATCTGTTGCAGGTTCGGCAGGTCTCGTATCATAGCCTCGTCTCGTCGAATATAATGAGGACGAGGAAGGACGAAGACGAGAGGAGAGAGTTAAATTAACCACTCATCTGTTCTCCATCTTGAGATCATCATTCATCTTGACTGACCACTCTCGTATCCGACAACTATATATTATTATAAATATGCCTTAGGTCTAAAATTAAATATACCTTCATGGGTAACCTAATAGCGCCGCGCTAAATATCCATACAAACTAAATATGCCTTGACTAAAGCACGTTTATAATATATAGTAGGGTTAAGTGAAAAAATGCAAATGAGGCATCCGCTATTGCTTCGTCATGTGGGAAGCACCAGCGGTATCTAGCTAGCACCGCACAAGCGCGACGTTCATCGTTCAAGCTGAATATCAAGCAAGAAGCATGGCTTTATAGGGTGTATCATCTAGAGAACCATAGCATGTCTTCCTATCAAATGTGTCATTATCACCCCCTTCATTGGGCCATACTACATCAACTCCATACCAACTTAATTCAGGGCCTTCACTGCCCGCACGTCGAGAGTTGACCCTGACTCATGCTTCGGGTTAAGGAAAACGTGTATTCGGAGTCAGTAGACTAGGATGTATCTGGGTAGTCGCGTCGTCAAATGCTGATTCTTCCTTTCTCTTGATGTCTTCCGAACTTCTTGCACCGTATCAAGATGAAGTCGGCTATCCCGTATAATGCAACGTGGCCGACGGGGCAGTTAAGGTCATCGAAGATAACGTAGCTTAGCATATTAGGATTAATACCAAAGTATGCTGTTGGACTATCTTGCTACTGGTCTGATAGCCTGATGCTACCTGTATTTATTGGCTCTTAAGATGGAGTGAAATGGTACTAAATTGCTTTACTAGATGTTTATTCAGAATACGCTTTCAAGAGTTCTTGAAGCTCTACTATCAACTGAATCATCTGATTCACGATGGGGGGTCGGAAAGAATCCTTGTAGTTGCCTCGGAAGACCCGAATGATAGCACTCGAAATGTCCTGATAATTGCTCACTGGTACTTCACCCCAGGTATGCCCTAAGTCTGAAAAGTCTTGAATGGTGGGTGTACCAAGCCCAAACTCGACGAATTGTTGTGTAATGGCACTGTCGACACCATCAACACGGACAACTTGGCGTTGCTCGAACCCGTTGATAGGGGAGCCGTCCTCACGTATACTCATCCTGTTCTTGCTTGCAGAGAATCTACCATATATCAGAAGTGCCAGACCCGCATGGTATAACATGAAAGCAGCTGGTCCCCGGATGGTTGCGTGTAGGGACGAAGCAGCTATTCGAATTATTTGGCCGGCATGCAAGATTGATTTCCGAGCTGGCGCTTCCCTGGACCACCTGCCAAGCCTGAGAAAAGCCGCTTCAAGTTGATCGGACTTTTTTGATGTACTAAACAATTGAATATCGTGGCAGGGCAGGTGAAGGTGCAGCTGAATATAATGCATCTTCATTTCCGCATCCAATAGAGGATTCACCACGAGGCTGACACCGCTGTGGAAATGCCTCATGAGTTGGATGAGCTCCTCGTATCGCAGGCTCATTACCGTGGAACTCCATTGCTGCGGATGGTATGCTTGGAAGGACCGCAGCTGGATGTATTCCCATGAGAGACGCCAACAACACGACAAAAACGCATCTCGGGCGATGTCGATATCCAGGGCTTTTTCCAAAGTATACAACTGTTGTGGGTCATTGAAATAATCATGTAGTGTAAGTGTTCGGTCAATGTCGATGCCTTGATTGAGAAAGGTGGCCTTCCACTGCTCGGCCGTTGGCGCGCACCACAGACTTGTGGGCTGTGGGAGGGGTAAAGACACCTCGGCATATGAAATGAGGGGATTTGTCTGCAGGGCCGTCGACGTATTCGTATCGTGTTTGAGCACTCTAAACACCAGCCGCTTGAAGCTTTCCAGCTCCACCCACTCCTGCCAGAATGACTCGAGGCGGCCGTCTTCCACGTTGTCTATCCTCACCTTGGGGTAACTCGAGTGGTTGAACTTGCCGGTGCGTCGAATCATTGTCAATAGCGGCTGCAGAAAACTTTCGGCGGCTTCCGTTTGTTTGATTTGTCCACTCCAAAGGCCAACCTCAACAGTGATGAGAAAGGCCTGGGCAAGCTCCAAGTCTCTGATAGCTGAGTTTCCTGCCTGGAACTAAAGATAAAGCAAAGGAATTAGCTTCGTAGCAACAAGAAACTAGTATTTTAACGCCTCACTTACATGTCTTGGGAGTGTACCCAACACGCACTCTTGGATCGTAAAACCCAGTTTTTGCAAGGTAGGATCTGGGGTCAGAAGGGAAGCGGATGAAATCATTGACGCTAGAAGTTCTGGACTCTTTGCGTTTGGATCAAACGTTGCTAAATGCAAGAATGTATAGGCATGCGAGACCGGTGAAGTCAGGTAGTGGCGCAGAAGCCCATCCAGAAGCTCCACCGAAGGAAACAAACTTAGAGTCTTGAACAAACTCGTTAAACGAGAGTTACCGAGGATTATGGTCAATATTTTGTCCCTAGAAGCGGGCAATAACTTTTTCCACGGCACGGCGTCATTGACAAGACCTTGAGGTTCTGAGCCTGACTCGATCGGAGCCAAATTAGTGTTGTGGCAAAAGTTCCAGTAGGACCTGGGAGACGATATTGTGTTTGTCAGTTGAGTTGAAGTTGAAGTTAGGCTTGAAGTTGACTTTGGAGTGCTCTCGGCCGTTGGTTGGCAATTAGGAAAAGTGGTAAGCTGAAATGGGACGTTGACGTTGTACGAATCCAAGAGACGTAGGTCCAGCTCATTAAAATTGAAGCCTGCTGGCAATTCCCCGGCTGAGGGGGTCTCGAGTAGGCTCCATGGCTCCATCTCGAGATCATGAAACATGACAATGGGGCCATCGAGATTGGAGTTGGCTTCATCAACTTTGACCGACAACAGTCAGCGACATAACGAATATTGCACAGAGATGAAATAAAACCCACCTGTGACTGGCAGCTTAGAGAGGCCGTCTCGAAATGGCTGACCCCATTCTAGATGCTCGGTGCTTGTACCTGCGCCACTCACAGGCGTTTGCACAGTAACCGCGGGCCTATCTGGGTAATCTTTCTGCCTTGTATGCGCCCCTTCATCATTGCCCTGTAGGGAATTGCTATTGTCTCTTCCAACCTTCTGGCCCTGATGGCCGATAATATGTCTGTTGAGTATATCTCTAGGATGGTAGTGAGCGTTTCAGCAATTGTGTATGACACCCAGTGAGGGAACGCTGAACACTTACACTCTCATGAACATTTTGGAGCATATGTGGCACTTGTATGGCTTAAATTGGGTGTCTATAACAAATCGGGTTAGTAATTCGTACCTCGGCAAAACTCGGTAGTACGCGGCTGCAAATCTTACGTGAACGCGCATGCCGAGCGAGATGGTCGCTTCGCTTGTACCGCCGGGTGCAATGGCTGCACTGATACCGACCCAGCTCACCCGCAGCGCTAGTATCCACACGATTAGCCATGATAATTGATGTGGAGGATCATGCGGTGCGAGGCCAAGGGGGGATGTGGAGGAGGATGACCTTGAATGCGTTACTGGGGAACGAGGCCAACTTAAGGGGAGAATGTGGAGGAGGATCGACATCTGGGGCACAGGAGGGTGCTCTGCTGGGCAAGCTTCAATGGGTTTAGCTTGCGGGGGTGGAGCCGAAATTGTAATTGTGATTTTGCTCCTCCACATCCCGTCTCATGAAGCAACAGAGGGCCTAAGCGGCAATGACTTTGAGAGTGGAGCCACTCCGACGGCTACTGGAGTCGTTCAAGTCCCGTACTGCTCTTGGGAAGGATGTAAGAGTTGCGTGGCTGCAGCCGGACTAAAGAATAATTTAATACGCAAGCTGCTCTGACCTTCGTGACTTTAAACCGAAATTTTAACTCGCAATTCTTAATCGGACTTCGGAGGCCTGTCCTAAACCACCACCATGCTACAACAAACAGATGAACACGCGAAGACTTATGTCAATGGGAATATGGCCGCTCCATTGAAGGTGATCATCGTCGGAGCAGGTATTGTACCAGCCACTTCTAAACACTACGTGCACGTTTCTCACCTTGACAGGTATTGGTGGCCTGACTGCCGCTGCTGGGTTACGCAAGGAAGGGCACGAAGTCATAGTAAGATTTAGAAACTGGGAGACCCCTGTCACCACTGACAGCAAACAGCTGCTCGAAAGGTCACAGCTCGCTCAGGAGTCAGGGGCTGCGATGCACCTTGCACCTAATTGTCATGGGATTCTCAAGAGATTCGGCATTTTCCCGGAAACAGTTGGAGCCAACAGAACACAAGGGGTTGGTGTGATTTTCTTTTGTGTCGAAATTGTACCGCTGCTACATGCTAAATTTCTTCCTAGATCACCGAATTTGAGCACACAGGTGACTTGCGTGCCACGATAGACCTACAACAAGCAAACTCGATATGGCAGCATGTGAGTTGACTGGAATGTTCGTGTCATGTCTTTGTTAAATGTGCTAAACGAGTGATTATCAGCCCTGGGTTCTTTGCCACCGCGTCAAACTTCATGAGGCACTGAAAGCAAAGGCGACCATGGACGATGATGAAGGACCTGGTGCCATTCTCAGAATCTCAAGCCGAGTTGTTGACGTCGATCCCTCCAAGATGACTGTTACGTTAGAGAATGGAGATCAACTCTCCGGTGACCTGATTCTTGGAGCAGACGGCGTTGGGGTAAGTATCTCATTCCCAACTATTATCAGATGATCAGAGGAGCCCTTGCTGACCAAAACAGTCCGTTGTGAGAAAAGCTGTGGTTGGCAGCCATATCAAACCTTTCAATGCTGGTAAAGGAGCATTTAGGTTCTTGATTCCGAAGCAGCAACTTTTTGATCACCCCGCCACTCGCGAATTAGTCTCAAAGCCTGGCTATATGACCTTTTGGTACGCCAACGACCGTCGGCTCGTCATGTATCCGTGTGACGATAACATGACTATGAACTTCATAGCCATGCACCCCTACGAGCTTTCTGCCTCGGAAGCATATGGTGGGCGCACTCAATCATTCACTTTCCTAAGTAGCTATAATACGATACTTACATATAAACAGGATTCAGCCATAGAGGGAGCAAAGAAACACTACTGCGAGTGTATAAAGACTTCTGCACAGTAGTCCAGACCTTGCTTGATATGGTGGATGAGGAATCGCTCAAACTTTGGACCCTGCTCGATATGGACCGAATACCCCGTTGGTTTAAAGGGGGAGTAGCATTGCTTGGCGATGCAGCACACCCATTCCTTCCTTGTGAGTACTTGCACTGCACTGAACGTCTACTTAACTGACTGGACCTATAGTTCAAGGACAGGGTGGTGAGTGGATTTATCCTACTTGGCTTTTTTTTGTGTATTAACCGACCATACCTAGGCGGTGTTGCTATAGAAGACTCTGCTTCCATCTGCGCTCTGTTTCCAAGAAACACTGCAAAAGAACAAGTTACAGAAATACTAGCTCTATACGAAAGAATTCGAGACGAGAGGGCACATAGAATACAGGCCGCTACTCGATCGCTAGGAACGGACTTAGACGAGGATAAAGCAAATAACACGGACAACGGTGGGTAATACATTGCTGAGCTTGGTTTGCTGCTGACTCGCGCCAGTGGTTGAGACAACACGCTACAACTTCGGGCATGACGAATGGCACAACTCCAAGGATGCGCTGAGGAGGTGGATTTCGTCACGTAACGAGTCTTCATTGTTGAGACGACCCACCTCCTTCTGGCCAGTAAGTAACTTAGAAAGCCACGGCTTACCTCAGTCAACACGCCCTACAGAGTCGTACTTTCTCAAACAGACGGTCCGTTTCAAGACTTCTGCTACGTATCTTCGGGCGCTATTCCCGACTCCCAACTTCAAGTTCTCGTCGCCTGGCACAGTTGTTGAAGCAACATTCCAATGCCTTGAGCTTCGTGATCAAATAAAAGATGGCCGATCGGCATACAGGTCGTTTGTTCTTCAGGTTCATGGCGTCCAGTTTACGAAGTGGGATGGCACGAAACTTGACGGTTCTTTCACACCTGTCATGTTTGAATCACTTCCCAACATCGTCATTTCTCATCGCGAGGAACTTGGACTCCCCAGCTTCCACTGCGATATTGAAGTTGTGGAAAGCAACAAGACTTCTCGCATCACCTGCAGTCTGATGGGGAAGAGCTTTATCGGCCTGCAGTTAAACGCCTTGCAAGAAGCCGCTCCAGAAACATCCACCGAGACTTCATGCGATAACCAATTCGCTTACAGATACGTCCCTGCTGTGGGGACGAAAGATTTCGCGGATGCAGAGTATCCTATTCTTTTACGCGGTCACCAGATGGACGCCACTCGAAAGCTGGAAAGAACGCTCAGAGGCACAAGTGCTGTTATCAACACTTCGAAGGGGACTTCCAAAGATATGCCTGCATTTAATTGTGTGACGACCGGACTGTCGGAATTACCGATTTACGGGATTGTCGAAGCGAAGCTGGAACAGGGGCATGGGGTGGTCACTTCCTTGCAGGCAGAGCGGATTGAATAGGGCACTACTGAGCGAGGGAGAATAGCGCCCGTGCTCGCAATCATCACAGTCAATCAAGAGTCGGTTTGTTGGTCAATTATTGCATGCCAGTGTATTGACAGAACGCTGATAATGTGGAGGGATCAGGCCACATATGCCATCTATCCAAAGCATGGGGCCATTTTATATTGGTGGTCTCACTACTGTTCAATGTTGCTGCTGAAGCCGCGGTAACGAAGTTGGTTAAACGGTGATTGAGGTCAGTGGGTACTCAAAACATAAGTTGTCCTAGCTGCAGCAATATATGGACAGTACGTTCATTTTTGTCTTATTTTCAGTGGCAACCCAACCGCGACTTAGAAGTGCGTTGGAGTGCTCTCCACAACAGCCATGAAAAGCTACCAGCACGAAAATACTCATTCAGGCACAAAGTCTAACCTAGAAGCGCATCGTAAAAATTCTCTTAGGCGGCTGCCGCCGCCTAATTACGTTAGAGACCGGCCAACCGGCGTTGCTTCCGCCCATAAGGTTCTGCGGACCTCATATTTTACAGAGGCCGGCAGTGAATTACAAAAAGGGTCACAGAAGTCCACCTGAATCCCGTTTTTAAGAATCCAATAGATCTCTAAATTCAAATTGAATGCCCGACTACTGAGATAGGAGAATTCTGGGACCAAGCTCTACAGACGAGCCACCAAGTCTCGCCAGGCTGTCCTGCTAGACGCTCGCTCCCACCAAGCTTTCAAAGAGGGCCTCGCAGATATCTCTTCCTGTAAATCCAACTTGGACAAGAAGTGAATCCATGGCATGTGGTACAAATCAACGAGTGAGAATTTCTAGACAATGTCAGAAGCAATGACTTTATTCGAGGTGTCTGTTATGGGTCAACTTACATCTTGAGCCAGGAAATTACTCTTAGACGTAATCTGTTCGTAATAGTCTAGAGTTGTGTGAAGGAGGTCCGTCAACTTCGAGACTTCAACCGGGTTGGGATCACCGAAACCCATGAACCTATAGAGAATAAGCCTCAGACACTTGCTAGCATAGTATATGGTTTAGTTGTAACTCACTTCTTGAAGATTTTCTCGAATGCGAGAGACTTCATGGTTGGGTCAAAGTAGGAGTTCTCGACGCTAGATGCCAATTCGTAGTGAGCGACGTCCTCAGGAGATTGATCCGTTTCAAGGTACAAGTCGCTATTACGACCGTATTTCGCGACAAGATACCGACAAATGGCTCTTGATTCAAAGATTCTTAGTCCTTTGTCGCCGAGAACCGGGATGCGTCCAAAAGGATGATAGGAGCTCACATAATCCTTGGCCTGGGGAAAGTCTGTTAGCTTGGGCTTGGAATCCTGCACAACCGGACTCGACATGCCTTGTGTTCCCCTTCTTGAAGCTTGATGTCTGTAAATTCATATTTGACCCCCAGTTCAGCCAGTACGAGGATCACTCGCTGGGTGCATGTGGAATGGAGAGAGCCATAAAGCATCACAGCCATTTTTGCGTGGCAAGTGCAGTTGAACAATAAGATAGAGGCAATACGTGATGGAGCAACCAGAGGGAAAGGCAAAAAGAAGAAAAAAAAAAAATAGGGACATGTAGGTGAAGTAAGACTCCAGTGGTCAACCAGAAATAGCACACTTATTCCACTGCTACGCTTGCATTAGTAAAATGAGTTTCACTTTTTAAAAAAATATGGGAGCAATGACCATTAGTATGTATGTGGAGGGCGCGAGAGACGCGGGGGATGTGGAGGGTGTGGAGGATGTGGAGGATGTGGAGGAGCGGCGAAGCTGAGGGATGTGGGGCATGTGGGGGTTGTGGGGGGTGGAAGGCTGCTGAGAGTGACATTCTGGTATTGATACGAACAGGCAACATCGTTGAGCGAAGCAACAGTGGCTACGTCGGCAAATTCTGCGGCGGCTGGAGGCACACGCGATGCTTTGAAATAGATAAGGTCAAGGACGCCTCGAAGAGATGAGCCTGGTTTAACATACACAACAAGACAATAGCACATCGGCCCAATTGTTTTCGAGGCCAGATCTATCCTCAATTAAGAAGAATTACACACTATCGCACCATCATGTCCACACAAAAATCCAAGGTGGCCCGTCAAGTGGATGACACGATTCTGCTCGCGCAGTCTAAGAGGACTTTGTTCGACTTTGGGGATTTCGATCATTCCTCAATTCCGTTTGAGAAGGAGTCATGGCCAGTCATCATTATCGGGTCGAGCATGGTTGGAATGACACTAGGTGTTCTTCTCGGCTTCCATGGGTAAGATTGACAATTGGACGACATCCATTGACTTGCAACTAATGAGCCATTTCTAGTATCAAATCCGTTTCGTTCGATCGACATCCATCGACTGCAATTCATCCCAGAGCGGCATTGTTCCTTTTGCGCTCGATGGAGATTTTCCGTCAACTTGGTCTCGAAGACCGCCTGCGTGAGAAAAGCGCATTGAACTTTGACCTCGACGCCGGCATGATCATTGTTGAGAACCTATCGGGCGGCAAAACCCTCATGAAACTGCAAGAAAGCGATCCTGCCGAGGTTGCTAAAGTCACTCCTAGTCAGCGCCTGTGGCTTACACAAAATATGTTCGAGCCTCTCGTCCGCGAGAGTGCCAAAGGCTTTGGAGCGATCCAAGAATTCAATGAGTCTGTCGTTCACTATGAGGAGCAGCTGGACGGGGTGGTGGTGGTAGTCCAAAATGTCCAGTCGAAGAAATTGAGGAAGTTCAAGACGGACTACTTGGTCTCCTGCGATGGCAACAGAAGTGCGACACGACGGAAGGAAGGCATCCAATGGAACGGGCCTGGAATTCTTGGCCAGAGCATATCGGTCAACTTCCACGCGGACCTAACACCGTATCTCGGCACACGAGCCAAACATGGTGTAACATATATTGCCAACCCAAAGATTGATGCTGGATTTAGGCTCGAAAGCGGAGGAAAGGCCGGGTTCATGATTGTCTCGCGAGCGGGCGAGAAGAAGCGATTTCTACCAGACTCTGTCAGCGAACGTGAAGCGAAACAATACTTCAAAGATGCATCAGGCATTGAAGATATCGACATCGACATCGACTTTATTTCATATTGGTCGGTAGCCGCGTTCAACTGTGAACGCTTCTCTAGCACCCAGGGCCGAGTTTTCATTGCTGGAGATGCTGCCCATGTTATGCCCCCGACTGGTGGAATGGGTGGTAATACCGGTGTACAGGTATGGTCCAAAACGCTGCGTGTTTTGGCTTTGAGAATAGGGTAACTGATAAAAGATGCAGGACGTCCATAATCTTGCGTGGAAGCTCGCGTATGTTCTCAAAGGCAAAGCAGGCAAATCTCTCCTTGATACATATACCTCGGAGCGTCAGCCAGTGGCTGGGTTCTTGATGCGCCAAGCGTATTCCAGACTACAGAAGCGTGTTTTCCACACGGCTCCCGACGAGCCGGAGCTTCCGGATATTGTCTGCGAGCTCGGCTATAGGTATCCATCAGGCGCCAGCTATTCTACAATACAGGAAGCGGGGGAAACCTTACTACACGAAGACCCCCACGCACCTCTAGCAATTGCCGGGTCTCGTTTCCCTCATGTGGCCCTCACCGACGTTGCGGAGACTGAGAAGCAGGTCTCTACCATTGACTTGATCAAGACCAACTTTGTCATGTTCACAGCGGATGATGCGTCTCCTTGGATCGCAGCGGCAAAGAATATGACGATGGATATAGACACGCATAGTCTGCATGAGACGTCAAGCCCCCTGCGGGATGAACAAGGGAAACTCAAGTCTGTCACGAAACTTTCTCCCGGAGAGGCACTGCTTGTTAGACCGGATGGTTTCACTGCGTGGAGAGCTGCGACGATGGAGGAGGGACATGAGAAGGCCTTGGATGATGCGCTGAAACAGGTCCTCGGCTTGTAAATAGTTGTATTTGCTCGCTCCTTGGCCTGGTTCGGCAATAAAAACGTTCTTTTGAGCCTAGCCAGCAAAGGGCAGATTTTGGAATCAGTGTGATCAAAGTTGGGCTTCGGGTTGCGGGTTGGGACGTGTGTTCCGAAAGGGTAAGAAACGCAATTAAAATTAACCAAAAAATCAGCCACGATGACGCGTGAAGTAAAAAGCGTATTAATTGATAGAGAAAAAGTCAACAAATTTGACAAAAATAAATTCAATGTTTGCATATCTTCAGTAAACCTTTTATTCTTCATTTAATATATATATATATATATATTTTTCGTCCGGGGGCCGTGAGGCCTATAAAGTCCCCTATTAGGGCATAGGACGTACTAAGCTAGAGTCTTTAGTGCTAAAATCTATATAAAGCTTTCATAAATTATAAAATAGACTACTATCTAGTATATTATTGGCTTAAAGGCGCGTCCTATCGAGCCTATTACCTACTAGCGGGATAACTAGGTGCGGCTATTATAGTAGTAGCCGCTATATTAGTCGGTCTTTAGTGAGACTGGGAAGAGGGCATCGGCGTGACTATATAAGGCAGCTAAGCCTATATGAATAAAGAAAAGAACTAAAGAAATAGAAGGGAAAGGAAAATAAAAGGAGAGAAGGAGATATAAATATATCTCTAATTTACCTCGTCTAATAATAAGTATAGATCCTTTTAAAGAAGGCGCTTAATTTAGTTAACTTAATATACTTATCGAAGTTCCTTCTTATTGCGAGGTTAATCGCTATAGTTAGTAAGGGGATAAGCTTTATTTAATATTACTATAATATTTTCCTATAATAAAAGATATAATTAGGTATTTTATATTATTTATATAAATAAATTACCTATATATTATTATAGCTAAATTCTTTATAATATATAATAAAATCCCTATAGAAAGACCTTATTATAAATAAATAATATAAAATAACCTAAGGAAATAAAAATTCTAATAGGTAATATATAATTACCTTAAGATTTAACCTCTTATATTACTTAAGAATAAAAATTATTTATTATATTTTAAAAACTTTTTTTAGTTTTTACTTTATTATTTTTTATAAGTATATTAATATTAGCTAAGTATTATTTAATTCTAATACTAAGGATATTACCTTTATTAATTTATTAGCTTATTTATTACTAGGAATATCTATATAGCTAGGTATCTAGTATATTTATATAGCTCTATATAATATAGCTAATATATGACGATCGTGGTTAGGTCTAAGGGATAAACCGGTCGTACTTAGTTTATATTAGCACTAGATTATTAGCGTTATCTTAAATAGGGTTATTATAATATTATATCTAGTAATATACTTAAAGGTATTAAGTATAACTAAGTTATATTAATAGCTAAGGTAGCTAATATATAAGAAAGTATAAATAAATATATTCTATATACTTAATATTTTATTAGATTATAAGGATTACTTTATAATCCTAGTGATCTATAGATTATTAGGATTATTAAGTAAGTTAGGTAATTTATTATTAATTAGTCTAATTCCTCCTAGCCTTATATTATATAACTTAGCCGCTAATATAATTAGGTTAGGTCATAATATAAGGTCCCCTCTCTATTAATCTTATCCTTAAGGCTATATTTATAGCCTATCCTTAGTAAGTAATTAACTTAATTCCTTAAAATTTCCTACTAATAGGATATTAGGTTATATCTCGAAATCTAAGAAATCTATATAATATTCCCTCTTAGCTTCCTATTTCGATACTAAGGGATTTAATGCTATGCCTTATTTTACTTACTTCTAAGCGAGGAAGGTATATTAGATAATAGCGGGTTTTAGCTATTATTAAGAGTATATCTATTAGGGCTATTCTTATAATAGTATTAATATATTATCCTTTTATAAGTTACCTTATTAATAATAATTATATACTTTAGCTAATATCCTCCCCTAGTTTCTAAGAACTTAGATACCTAGCGTAAAATAGACGCAGATATTAAAAAAGCGGAAGATAAACTATAAGAGACCTTAGCTCACTTAGCCTATCTTCAATAATAATATTATTTACTTCGTGAGTAGGGCTCATAGCTTTTTTCTTAGGGGATACGGGAGTTAGATAAGGAGGATAAGGTCTATTCTTAAGAGGAGGTACTTATAGCTAAGTAATAGGTAATAGGTAAGTTATAAGCGGGGGGCGCTTTTAGGGTTATTAATTAATCTACCTTAGACCTAGGCGACTTTAATTCTATTATTACTAATAAAAATCTTTTAGGAGGTATTATAAACTAATAAGGTATTCTAGTAGTTCCTATATATTTTTAGAGTTAAAGTAGTCTTTTTATTTAATAAAATATATTATCTTTCTATTAATTTTATTTATATTAAGGATAATTTCTATAATATATTCTTCTAGTCTATTAATTTCTATATTAAGTTTATTATCTATTTTTACCTAGATAATACCTTATACTAATTTAAGTAATAAGATATAAAAAATTAGATAGAGCTTAATCTTAGGTAATAAGTCTAATTTATAGTTATATTACGAGATTTTCTATTTAATTTTATATAGT